GTCACTATGATCACCCACTCAGATGAATTCTCAGACTGTCCCAACATACCCAGGTTTTGACCCCGCTAAGGATCTCACTGATTGGCATATCAAAGACAACCCAATCCGACACCTAGTGCAGTATCATAATCGAGTTTAGGGGTCAGGTGTAACATTATAGTTTTGCCCATCAATCTCCAAGGTTCAGGGCAATACTGGAAATCTGGTCCGGTTCAAAGATTCAACTAATCCTACACTAAATGTGCCTTGGGTCTCTCCCTGGCGGCTGAGACAGGCCACCCCAACATTTGGCAGCACACCAGTGCCAGCATTGGCAGGATAAATCTCCCCAGACTTATCCAACGGCTGTGAACATTCTAAAGTAACACGAGTCTCATAAGTGTCCAGTTTAAGGGTATTACATAGAAACACACCACATGAACATGAATCAAATATGTACTTTATTCATTTACAATAAATTTATAATGTACATCATTCTGATTGGAGCTAAGGGCATACAACTGTCTAACATATCATGTGTACGGGACCCAACTAAAGAGTCTGGTCTTCTGGATGATTGCTGACTTTCATGGTTGGATCGGACCATCTACTTATTTGGGTGGCGCTTTTTGGGGTCCTCGGTGCAAGGATTAGCCATTGTAAGCGCCTACGCGGTAGGGTGAACGGTTTGAGGGGCTTGAGTTGGTTGTCCCATCATCTTCATCATTGCAAGAATGTGGTCGACCTTCTATTGTATCACTTGGAATTGCACTCGATTGACCGTGGTCTGTTATTGGGGCTCTCAAGGTGGAGAGCTACGGTGAGACCGTGAACCCTGAGATGAGGAGCGGGCTTCAGAGCGCTTAGATGTGTGTCTAGGCATGGTTGTCTTGAGTGCGCGGAAAGAGGTTTTGGAAATGGCTTTTTGTGTGTTTCCCACATATGGTGTGAATCTGATGTTGTCCGCTCCGAGGTGTCTCAAACCGAGGAAGCAGTTAGATAATCTTGCCAATTGGATGAAGCCGAGGTGGAAGGACGAAGCCACGCATTGGGATCTCCAACCAAGAGGGAAAGTTAGAGGCTCGAGGAGTTGTTCCCTGGGTAGGCACTCCGATGCTCAAGTTGGTTGAATGGAAAGGTAGATGGTCGGGCCGAGCAAGTGAGAACAATGTTGGTCCGATCAAAAGAGGTGGGTGCAAGAATACTAAGTCCCAAAGTCCTTTACCTTGAGTGGAGATTATCTATTTATAGTTGGACGTCTGTGTTTTAGTCAGATGAAGCTTCCGAGGTTGTGAAGATGAGGTCCTCCACCGAGGTCTTTAGGATAACTCGTCTTCCCCAGTGGAGTTAAGTTCCCGGTCTGTGCAAGACACTCCTTGGTAATGATTATCTGTTGTGTGGTGCTGATGTGGCTAGTGAGAGACAATGACCGCGAAAGCCGCCACATGAAATTCCAATCCAGCTCAACCATAACCCAAACAAAATCCTCCCAAAACTGTATAAATATCAATTTTCTCACACACAAAGATACACATTCTAACATGGAGAGAACTCTACACCTACGAACAACACCCCCTTCACATCCAAATCGTGCTCTATCCTCCCTCTCTCAAGCCTTAGAGAAAATCATCCCCCATAATCCCAACATCCCTTAGAAGAACCCTATGCTTGAAACTCTTTTAGCCCAGTTCAATTGTTATGTACCTAAGCTTAATGTTCACATAGGACTGCAACTAACCAAAGGTCCAACTGCTTACCTCATCGTTGGGAACACATCCCAAGAGTTCCTATCTTCCTAATTCAGCTTTGGACCGTTAAAAATGCAAAGAATTCAAACCCCATGAAATTATTTGCGTGGGGAATTTTTAATGATTAAAGCTGAAAGCGTTGAACAAGGTTTAGTTAAAGTGATTCCCGTTCTCTCCAAGTCTCCTCTAAGCTGAGATTGAATTATTAAATTTGTCTAATCAGTGACACGGATGAGGCCTTCGCTTGTGACCAACAAGGCAGGATGCTCTTCTAATTGTAAGCTTGATGCTATTTTTCTTTTTTTTTTTTGTTTATTATAATCATTATTTTTTTGAGTTTTTTTGCTCTAAGTAGCCTATTAGGATTGGTCCCCCTAGTCAACCAAAGACTTTGCATATTGTTAGAATTTCTTTTGTTCATTTTTTGTAGTTGAATACATGATTACCGTTCAGATTTTCTTGTTAAAATCATTATTCTCTTTTAATGGGTTTTTCATTAGTTGCATCACATCCATGAATTGCATATATATATATATATATATATATTAAAGTAATGATTTCAATCTGAAACCCCTCAATCTGACACGTGGCAATTTCTTAAAAAAATGCAGAATATGTGGGAAGTGGGGTTGTAAGTTTTCAGACATGAGAAGTGGAACTTTTCCTAAAAAAAATGCAGAATATGGCAATATGCAATCTATAACAGAATAAGAGATAACCGAACTAAGAATACCTACCATTGAACCTGTGAAGTGGAACCTTGGCCGTGCTGGGTTGCCTTGATGAAACCCAGCATTACTTGGCCATGCTTGGCCTCAACGATAGCTTCCTTGTAGATGTTGGGTCCAAGGCTACAACACCCTTATAACCTGCATACCGAATTTGGAAGGCAGAAGGAGTAATCCTTGAGATTACAGTTGGCTGCCACTATGCGTGCAAACTCAACAGAAATCTTGCCAATTCCGTCAAAGAAAACGTATTTGGTTCCATCCTCTCCTTCAATCTCCACATCAGGAATAACTTCAATTTCATCGCTATTCACAATCAATGTTCCAATGGATGAACCGAAAGACTGACCCAGCCTTGCTGCAAAATTTACCACATTTCTTATGTTACGAAAATCGCCCATCCATTCTCTGATGCTATCTGCACTAAGCTCATTCGTTGAAGCAAACATCCACACAGAATTTTCTCCCAGCTGACTTGATGAGAAAGCAAGAAACTCAAACTTCTGGTCACCGATTACTATATCATTTTTCAAAACAGAAAGTATCCTTCTATAAATTCCCATGTATCTGTCATCATCACTTGTAGAAGATTTACGTGACAAATACAAGTCCGTTGGAGAGATTTTATCGAATTCTTCATCAATGAATGAAGCACGGATAAAGTTATCAATCTCTTAAGGATAATGGCGTAAAACACGATTGGAAAGAATGGGTTCTGGACCATAGAAGTAAACCTTACAAGGGGTAATTTGAACTCTGCGAAGATGAACTACGCGAGTGCCCAACCAAACCCGAGGCGTCTTAGGAACATTCTTCGATGTCTTCTGATACGTCCTGTATTGATTTCCCAACCACTTCACAGGTTCAATCGCGTGCTTGATTGAATGGATGGAAATCAGAGTAAGACATGCTATTAGTCCCTTTGACTATTTTTTAGGGATGGAAATCAGACTTTAACTATTTACTGATTCTCAAACAAAACATCTGAGAGTCAAAAAACGAAAATAGCAGTTGATCTAAAACACCAACTTGCTGCGATTTCGACCGTTGGTAATAGATCGCCGCTGCTAGAATGACTCCCACCGCTGGTTCAGTGAGAAGATGAAGGAGACAAGAAATCGATTTTAACTATGAAACAGGGGAAAACATATACTGGTTCTCAAACAAAACATCTGGGAGTCAAAAAACACAAATAGCAGTCCATCTAAAACACCAACCTATTGCGATTTCAACCGCTGGTAATAGATCGCCGTCGCTGGAACGACACCCGCCATTGGTTCAGTGAGAAGATGAAGGAGACGATAAATCACAGTGAGGAGATGAAGAAAAAGAGTATAAATCGCAGTGAATAGAAGGAGAACACTCCGCCATGAATGAAATCTTACCTTAATGTTCGCTAAAGGAGAGAAACCGCCGCTGGTTGCAGAGAAGATTGTGTCAATGGGCAAAACCTTATACTCTTTTATTCGAAGGGCATTAATGGTATTATAAAAATTTATTAGGGGTCTACTGCACTCTCCGCCGGCCACTTGCGATCATTTATGTGTGGCTGCCGGTGGCCGGGATCGTCATACCTTCCATGTAGATGAAGCCGCCAGTGGTCGACTTTCAGCCAGGGGATGTTTCTTTAAAAAAACAAGCGACCACCGGCTCTTCATTAATATCTAACGAGATCACCGGCCGCCGGTTACTGGGAGGCTCATATGGTGATATTTATGAAACCGTCGGTGGTCGACTTTCAGCCAAAAAGGGGATGTATTTCTTTTTAATACAGGCGACCACCGGCTCTTCATTAATATCTGATGAGTTCACCGACCACCCGCGATCATTTACCTTTGGCCGCCGGTGACCGAGAGGCTCATACATTGTTGCTTATGAAGTTGCCACTGGTCATGTTTTGGCTGTGATCACAGCATGCGCGTATTCACGTCGGGTAAAGGTGACAGATATTGTTTCGCGTCGGATCTGCCCAATATTTGCGGATTTACTGTTTTTATCATAACTTATTAAATCGGTTCGGTTTTACACCAAATCCAGTTTAGTTGTGTACTTATATTTAATTGCTGATACTTAATAAAGATGTTAATGAATTCTGTTTGTTTTTAAACCAAACCCGGTTTAATTAAATGCTAATAATTAATAACAAGTACTTATATTTAATTACTCATAATTAATAATGATGTTAAAAATAATTAACATTAATTAAGTAAGTTTGTTTTTAAACCAAAACCGATTTAATTAAATGTTGATAATTAATAGCGATGTTAATAATAATTATTTAATATCCATATTAATTAATAATAATTAATTGATAATTAATTAATAATTATTATTTAATATTTATAATAATGAATAATCATTAAATGACAATTATATCAGTAATGTTATATTATTAATATTATTGTTCTCAGTTAATAATTATTAAAATATTATTAAGTATGTACGTAATAAGAATATATTATTACTTAATAATAATAATAATAATAATAATAATAATAATAATACTATTATTATTACTTAATATTAATAATACTATAATTATTATGATTGTATTATTATTATTATTATTATTATTATTATTATTATTATTATTGGTTTTATATTTAATAAAGTATTATTAATATATTACTAATAATTAATTACTACTAATTATTATCAGTAGTTATAATTATTAATAATATTATTATCCAATATTTATTTGATTTAGTCAAAGTCAAATTATAAAAATTTCAATTATTCAATATTGATAAAATAAATTAATTATAGATGCAATTATTATTTCATTAATTAACTAAAACACTAATTATAACAAATTAATTACTTAATAATAATAATAATAATAAATTTAATTTTAATATTATTATTATTTCTTAATAATAGTATTATTACTAAATAATTCAATTTCTTAATTCAAATATAAATATAATTATTAAATAAATAGTGATTCAAGAGTTCTACCTTGATGTCCGGGTTAATGACAAGATCTGAATTAGTCTAGCCTAGGAGAATCTTGATTTGATTAATTTTTTTGTCAGAGATCGAGGGTCATTTCTTCTGCATTTGAGTCATAAATGGGCTCAAGATCAAACTGATCCAGGTCATGACTAGCCCATTTTGCATGATGGGTTCCATGTTGCATCTCCAGACTTAAGTTGTCAGTTACCCCCAAGTTAGGCTGATTAGGGTCATGGTTGATCCACTCTTGATGTTTACTGCCTTCTGGTTCTCTGTCAATGGTGGGGTCTTGGTCAACCCAGTTTTGGCTTCTCTTTCCTTGCCTTTTGCCCTGCCAATCTTTTATTTCTATGGTGAGACTAGGCTTTAGATTGTTCTATTGACTCTCTTGATTTACTTGCCCTATGTCATGCCAGTCTTCTGTCTCAGTGTTTGAGATGGGCTTTAGGTCAGCTTGCTTCAATTCTAGCTTTTCTTTCCATGCACCATGCTGATCTTCTGATTCAATGATGAGGTCTTGATAAATCCAATTTGAAACTTGCTCTAATTTCCATGTACCATGCCATATGTTTATGTCTTGCTTCATACCACGTTGATCTCCTATACCAAATTCAGAGGTGGCCTGCTGAGATTCTAGGGTAGAACTTTGCCCCTGGTCTAGACCTGTACTAAGATTTTCTTGCCTCCGATTTGTGGTAATCACTTGAATCGAAGCAATAGAACTTTTCTTTAAGTCTATTTGGTCAGATTGCACATTATGTTCTTCTTTTTGATATGGTTCGTTGATGTTTATCTGTTTTATGGGCTTGATGAATTGAGTTGGATCGAACGGTTGATCTTCTTTAGTTTTCTGTTGCATCACAGTGATAATGTGCATTACCATTTTGGGGGGTTCTTCTCCTAACCTTTGGATCGGATTGATGAGTTTTCTCGGATCAAAAGCCTCATCTTGCTTGGCTATTGATAACACCTTCGTAGACTGGATAGGCCTAATGTACTTGGTGGGATCAAATAGTTGACTCTTTTGCTGCAAGGTGCTGACCTGATGACTTGTTTGGGCTTGATGCTCCTTTGCTGGGCCTTGAGGATTGACTTGATTCTCGTCTTCTAGGGCTTGGGTTGATTTATCCTTACAGATTGTTTGTTGAGGATTACTGTTTGGAGGTGATGTACTATACATCGCTGCTTGAGTTCGAAGCTCACTTCCTAGTTGGTTCACCTCGATTTCTAATGACTCAACCTCTATGATTTGAATCGGCTTGATGAGTTGGGATGGATCAAAAGCCCTGTCTTCTTTAGCCTTTGATACAACTTCCATTGGTTGGATGGGCTTGATGTACTTGGTGAAGGGATGAGAGATCCATCATATGGATGGCCGAACCCTACAGGTAGGTTGGGCGAAATTTCAAAAATTTTTTTCTCTCCCATCTGCGAATCACATTCCCTGTTTTAGAAAATCTACATTTTCAAGGATCAATTTTGAACCAAGAACCAGACCAGATCTGAAACCAAGAGGTAGGAGAGGGATATACCTGATACAGAGTAGCAGTAACTCCCAATGAAGGTGTTCATGCCCAAAGAAATCTCCAAAGACTGCTCCCACCGAAGATGACACAGTGTAGGGTGGAGCAGAATCAACAGTGTTCTTCCCAAGAACCAAACCCTTCAACAAGAATTCGATGGAGGCTGTGAGCACGACTTCAGATCATCTTTTCTCCAAAGACTGATATCAAGAACTATTCTTGATTGCTCCTACAAGAATGGAGATCGAACTAGCAATTGGCAGCAACTGGAGGAGAACACAAGGAGAAGATGGCACAGTCACACGGTTGCTGCCTTCTCTCTTTGTGATCTAAGATCTGATGTCTGGGGTTTTGAGATGTATTGAATGGTTTGCCCCCTCCTCCTTTTATAGAATTAAAGAGATCAGCTCCTAATCCCATTAGGAGTTTCCTGATTCAAACCTTATTTGAATCTGGACTCTCTTTAAGTGATAAGGACAGATCCTTATCTTATCTGCATATTAGATCAACTCTCCTAATCTCATTAGGATGTTGCCAGATCCAAATATGTATTTAGATCTGGACTCTCTGGGTGAATAGGGATAACTCCCTATCCTATCTACTGATCTAATCCTAGATCCGCCCCTCTCTTTAACTAATAAAATTAGACCAGTTCGAAATGGGCTTTAGGCCCAATAAGTCTATGTGCTCATTAACCTTCCAAACTGCTGCCCAGTTGGGTTTCTTTGTATGGTGTGGGACCCAAACATTGATCTACACATCAACCACATGGGTTCAGCCCAACCTTTGTTACAAGGCCTGGCCGAATACGCTGTTATGGGCAGTGAACCCCTGAGCCCATCACCATGGGCTCTTAATGGACCCAACACTTACACTAAGTGGTCCTTGGGCCAAGCCACCTTATAAAAACCCAGGGACTGTGGGCAGATGCAAGATTTGCCCATCAGGTATTACCCTCAATGGTCTTACACTTAACCTCTCAGCCCATAATGATCAAACACTGCCCAACAAGAGATGACATCTCCCTCGGCTGCAAGGAACAGTGTTGCACTCTCTACTCACATGGATCCCGGGAATTAAAACCTTTTGCAAACATTTTGAAACCATAATATATATATATGTATATCCGTATATAAATATATTTTGCAAAACAAATTTCAACGATTGAAATTGGCTGCCGGCAGTCTTGGTTTCCATCAGAGAGAGTGCATCCCCGATCATTACCTTTGTCTAACAAAGGGGCTGATCCTGTCACTATGATCACCAACTCAGATGAATTCTCAGACTGCCCCAACATACCCAGGTTTTGACCCTCTAAGGATCTCATTGATTGGCATATCAAAGACAGCCCAATCCAACATCTAGTGCAGTATCATAATCGAGTCTACGGGTCAAGTGTAATATTCCAGTTTTGCCCATCAATCTCCAAGGTGCGGGGCAATACTGAAATTCTGGTCCGGTTCAGGGTTTCAAGAAAACTCACACTGCATGTACCTCAGGTCTCACCTTGACAGCTGAGACAAGCCACCCCAACCAACTTGGCGGCACATCAGTGTCAGCCTTTGCAGGATAAATCTCCTAGACTTATCCAACGACTGTGAACATTCTAAACTATCACGAGTCTCATATGTGTCTAGTTTAAGGGTATTACACAAAAATACACCACAATAACATGAATCAAATATGTACTTTATTCATTTACATTAAATGCCATAATGTACACTATTCTGATTGGATCTAAGGGCATACACTGTCTAACACTTGGTGGGATCAAATTGTTGGCTCTTTTGTTGCATGGTGCTGACCTGATGACTTGGTAGGGCTTGTTGCAACTTTGTTGGGCCTTGAGGATCAATTTGATGTTGGTCTTCTTGAGCTTGGATCAGTTTATTCTCACAAATTGTTTGTTGAGATTGACTGTTAGGTGGTGATGTACTATAGGTTGTTACTTGATTTTGGAGCTCACACCCTAGTTGGTCCACCTCGATTTCTAATGACTCAACATCTATGATCTGCTCATTGTCAGATGAGATGTCAATTTCTAGTGATATCTCGATGGTGGATGCATTACCGGCTATCAGAGAGTCTTCCACTTGGCAACCTGCACAAATTAAGGTTTGAAAAGTAGGATGATAAGTCAAAGTCAATCTGCTAACATATTCTTTATTCAAGCTCTTTAAGACCATTGAAATTTGGCCCTCCTCTCTAGGCTTCTTAAGGACTTGGGCTGCCTGGGCCCTCCACCTAGCTATGAAGTCTGTGAATGATTCTTCTGCTCCTTGCTTGACCAATTATAGTTTACGCCTTGACAATAGGATGTCTGTGTTATACGAGAAGTGGTTGACAAATGCTCAACTAAACTTGACCTAGTCTTCACTAGGCTAGGGTTGGTGTTCATTAACCAAATTGCAGCATGTCCAATTAGGCTCCTTAAGAATGATTGGGATAGAAACTCATCAATTAAGCCCATGGGCCTTAGTATTTGTTGATACATTTTGATGTGGGCCCTTGGGCATCCTGTCCCATCATATTTGTCCATGTCAAGCCACTTAAATCCTGGAGGTAGCCTATTTCCAGTAGTCAAGTCAAGGTCTGCTAAGTCAAAGTTGTTGCCTTGCTACTTGCTTAGCATTTGTTCTATGCGGTCTAACCGTTGGTCCAACCCTGGGCCGATTGGGTCACGGGCAAGAAGGTTGCCCCTTGCATGGTATTTTGGGTTGATGGATGTGTTGGAGTAGAGGACCAAGGTGTTTGGGTCTGGATCGGTTGGGCTATTGTTGCCCCTTGTATTGGGACTTGGATTTGATTGAATTGGGCTTGTCTTGCCTGGACTGGCATTGGTGAGGGATGGGTTGGACAAGAATACCCTTGGATGGGTTGCATTGGAATTGTGGCCCATGATGGTTGGGCTTGCCTTGGATGGCCTTGAATGGGCTGAATTCGCATTGATGGGGCTTAGGAAAGTTGAGCTTGACTGTATTGCCCCTGGTTGGGTTGAGCTGGGGTCCATGATGGTTGAGCTTGTGTATTTTGCCCCTAGTTGGGATGAACTGGCATAGATGTGGCGCATAATGGTTGGCTCTGATTGTATTGCCCTTGGTTGAACAGGACTGGCGTAGATGTGGCCCATGATGGTTGGACTTGAGTGATTTGACCCTGGTTTGGTTCAATTGGCATGGATGAGGTCCATGATGGTTGGGATTGAGTGAATTGCCCTTGGTTGGGCTGAATTGGAAAGCACGGGGACCACAAAGTGTGGGCTTGGTTGTATAGCCCTTGGTTGGGTTGGACTAGCATAGATGTGGCCCACGATGGTTGGGCCTAAATGCTTTGCCCTTGGTTGGGTTGGGCTTGATCATTGCGTCGGAGTTGTTTGACTTCACTCTTGAACAGATCTATTTGAGTTTGCAATTTTTCCACATGATTCTAGTACATCTGTTCAATAACCCTTAGGTGTTGTGAGAAGTCCATACTTGGGTTAGGTTGACCTTGTGTTGTAACCATGGTTTTGGGTTGTACAGGCTTTTATTTGAAAGAAAAGGAAGAATTGTACCTGAGTGGGCCCACAACTGCTTCTACCTGCATGCTTAAGCAATGACAAAACAAAAATACAAATGCAACAAAAAGAAAGATGCCAGACAACAAGAACTAAGTGCAAGTAAAAGGCAAATGCAAATACGTACCAATGTGCTAAAATGCCTACTTGGGACTCCTAAGGGTAGTTGCTAAGGCACTACATGCAAGGGCTTGGGTTTGTTTCTATAGGCTCCTAAAGGGTGTAGGGGAACCTCAGTCGGGTCGGGCTACCCATATATCTCAAGACAAGTCTTGGGTATGTTGTTGAGGTCTCACCTCGTTTATCAAGAGCCACAAACCTTATTCAAACAGTGGTTGGATATGGTAGAGGTAAGGGAGAAGGGTCCTCCTCTTTCTAGGACAGTTGTCCCTAAGCAGTCATGCCAGGGGTCGCCTATAGTCGAGTCGAAAGGAAAAGATGCAATGCAATATGTGTGCGGTGTGTTTATCATGTGTGCAGGCCCAAAATTAATTAAATATCATTGGAACTTGGTTTTTTGAGTTTGGTCCTCTTAGAAAATCCCTAGTGGAGTCGCCATCTGTGGCTACCCAACCCGGAGGGAGGGACGGATTTGGATATGGGGTTTGGATGAAGTCACCACCTAAATTTTTGGAATTGGAAATTTAGGAAAATCCGATATTTTTCAAGAAAAATATTTTCTTTTTTAGTGACTCGTTGCCCAATGGAAATGAGATTCTTAGGGTCCGGGGACCAAGGTACGGTGCAGGAAGGTGTTAGGCACCCCACACGCGTCCAGTTAAACCAGCCTCTACTTCACCAATGTTCCAAGGATTATTCATAACTTTGGACTTGAAATTTCAATTAACACACACATATAAATTTATCAAGACATGAGAGAAATGGAATTTACCAAAAGAAGCTAGAAATGAAACATATTAAATCATGGAAGAAAAGATGAATAAATTACGCAAACAACTAGTTAATTTGAAGGGGTTGTGATTGAAACAAAGCATTATTATTACAAGTTGAAATAAGAAAGGATGTGACATGTTGGAAAGCATAGTATTTCATTAAAAATAGATTGAAGAATGACACTAAGTGATTAAGGAAGCTATGCAGAACTAGAAAACTAAACGATTGATGGTGAAACTAGCTAATAACAAATGCAAAAGAAGATTTACTAGTGGGATGCAATCTACTAATGCAATTATTTAGCACTACAAAAAATATATTACTAGCGGCAGTTTTCAACCTGGCTATATGGGACTGCCGCTAAAAATATTGATCTTTAGCGGCAGTCGATTAGAACTGCCACTAGAGATCAAGCGACTGCCCCTGAAGATCAGTCGTCCCTCTCTCTCTCGCTCTCTTTTTCTATCTCTCTCACACACAGACAATCTGTTCTACACGGACAACATCAATCAGCGTATGTAGGGGTTCCTTCTTACTAGGGAGGCCTAATAGATTGTAATATATAATTTTTAGAGGGATCGCAGAGACTTATAGGGTGCTGAAGAAGGGAGGAAAGGCGTGTATCATAGGCCCTTTTTATCCGACTTTCTGGCTTTCAAAATTCTTCGCAGACCTCTGGATGCTGTTTTCTAAAGAAGAAGATTACCTCTGGTGGTTCGAGAAGGTTGGTTTCACCAATGTAAAGCTCAAGAGGATTGGACCAGAGTGGTACAGGGGAGTCCGAAAGCACGGCCTGGTCATCAGTTGCATCACCACCGGCACCAAGACTGATCATGGTCCATCTGTTCTCGAGGTGAGTGACACGCTCTCATGAGTTTCAGATCACCTGTTTAGCGAACCCGATGAACAGACGAAACACGTAACCTAAGCAAGGATGTAGAATACGAACGAATACCACTCGTCGAGTTAATTTTTCGACTTGTCTGCATATCCAGATTTAGAATCCAAAGAACTGGAACTTAGAGTGGATGGTAGCGGCAGCGACCGCTCTCCGTCAGATTAATGCGTCCTTTTGTTATATATTTTATTCATGTTGCCTTCTGTTATTTATTCTCTTGTCTATCTGGAAATTTTGAGTCTCTGACAACTCTAAACCAAATATTAACTCCATGTCTCAAAGCCATTGCTTATCATCATCTGGAGTTGATCCCAATGGGGAAGCAAGTAACATAAGAACTCGAACTGGAGCAATACCTAGGGCTCAGAGGGCAGATGCATCAACTCTTTGGAAGGAATTTACAAATCCAAAAGGGAGGAAGTAAGTGATAACTTTTGATTTTCTGAGTTCTTAATTTTCACTCATCGAAATATTAATGTGGTTTGACCTCAGTTCTGTTTAATTGGTTTTCAAATGATTGCAATGTAAACATTGAGGTTGTTGTAGGTATTACTATAATAAGGTTACCAAGCAATCCAAATGGATGATGCCTGAGGAATTGAAGGTGTCTTAATACAACTCATTGAGAAATTCACTTTCTTTTTGTTTCAAATTTTATTTGTTTCTATTGCATTTTCCAACGTTGCCACACATGCTATTATTAAGTTGGCCCGTGAATAGGCAGAAAAAGCAGCTAGTCAGAGTATTCTGCCTGAGACTACCATGGCCTCTCACACCTCAGTTTCTGTCACTGTCTCTTCAGTTGAGCCACAATCTGTTTCAGCTAATTCTATTAGCTCTACCCCATCTACTCTTATACCCGATTTGGCATCAAGCCCAGTTCCAGTGGCACCTGTTGTAGCTGCTGTTTATCCACTCCCTATGGTGGCTTCTAGGTCACAAGTTGTTCCTGCTGTACTTGGTGCTGTAACAAGAAGTGCAGCAGGTGTTCATTCTACTGCAGCAGTTGTTGCTGCTACATTGGTCAACACAACTACACAACAACGTATGCATATTTTGCAGCTCTTAAGACATTGTTGAGTTGCTTGTGGTTGGATCATGCTGGTAATTTTTTTATTGCTTCCCTTTGCCTGTCCAACTTGCAGGACTAATATTGAGAATGTGCCTAATCAAGATGTTACAACTTCTGTAGATGGAGCTTCTACTCAAGATGTCACAACAGAATGTGCCACTCTCTGTTGTGCAACTATGCTTCTTTTTTTACATTATTCTGTATTTTTGTTGAAAAATTGATGTTGTTTATGCTTTTTAGGAAGAAAAAAAGGGCATGGCTGTTGCAGGCAAAATCAATATTAATACTGCAGAGGAGAAAACAATTGATGACCCTTGGTTTATGCTAATAAGCTGGTATGCCTTAGAAGTTGCTTTTCATGTCTTATTTGTTGTGTAAACACTGAACTTATGGCATGCATTTCATATCTTTCAGGAAGCAAAAACTGCTTTCAAAGCACTTTTGGAGTCAGCAAATGTTGAATCCGACTGGACTTGGGAGCAGGTAAGCTGAAATGCATGAAGGTATTCTCAACCTTTGTGGATTCTACACTAGTGCTTGATATTGATATTTGTAAGGAAAATCCCAGCCCATGAGGGTAATAATCAATGACAAGAGATATGGTGCTCTGAAAACACTTGGAGAATGGAAGCAAACATTTAATGAGGTAAACCTTTGTAGTGAGTATCTTGTTGATTTTATGTGATTTTATGCCTAAGCACTTAGATGTTGTTAGATATAGGAGCTTTTCTTCACTTTTTCCCGGAAGTAGGTACTTAGCTTTTTCACGGTGGATGTTAAAGCCACCTCATACTGTCATACAACATTCAAAATTTTTCGGAAAACAAGTACACATTTCTTTAACATCCATTGTAAAAAAAGTGGAAGTATGTACTTCCTGGAAGGAGCAAATTTTTTTGATTGCAGGGTAGGTTTCTGGGTCTTATAGTTATTGGTTTTGACCATTGTTACATGGACATGGACACAAGAATCAGAATCCATGCATGCTCGGCAATCTGACAAGGCAAGACAGAGAAACAAGGGCTTGCTGACATTCCTGTAGGAAAAATGACATTCATTGTATTAATTAACTGTTAATCTATGTCAAATAAGGAGAAAAAGAAAATGTCACATAGAAATTTTCTTCAAGAATCCATGGAGTGTCTGAGTCTGACACATGTCCTCTATGGACACTTCAATCATTTAAGAGAGTCCATGCAACATTGACTCTCTTAAATGAGACTGAAGTTAGTGGTGCCTGAATTAGTGGTAATAGGGAACCTAGGTGGTTAAATCAGAATATCGTTGAAGTTTTTGTGTGGTTACAATAGGCTGAAACCTAGTTACTAGATTAGAAAGCAGATAGAAAGCAAGAAGTCTTAGTGTTACTTTTCTGTTTATTGAGGAAGTTTGAGTCAAACAATAGTTGATTACTATGATTCAAAGTTTCAAACACAGTCTAATAGTTGATTAAGTACAAAAATCTCCTTTTTGGTTTGAGAATCAAATAAAATGGATATCTGGATTTTAGGAAATGAAGAGTCATTTCCCTGTTTCTCATATCTTTGTTGGTTTTAGTATCTAGGAATCATAGATCAGTCATCTTTCCTTGTAAAATTAATGATCATCCTCGACTTTGGGTGGGTTTGGAACTAGTCATGCTCCCTTGCTTACTAGATTCATTTTCAAGTTTTCTAGTCTTATTAAGTTGTTGATGGACTGTCACAAATAATCCCCTTTTAGATAGAACTAGCCTTAGTGGTAAGCACAACTCTGTCTGCGCAAGTGATGGCTATCTGCTATACTTGATTGCTCTTTGTGCCTTCTACAGTTTCTTGTTATTTCTTAATCAGCATGGCAAGGATTGAGTTTGCTATAATGAACTGGAACTTAAAATTGTTGAGTTGTCACTCAAAATCTTCACAAATTGGCTAGATCTCAACTATTGTTCATTATTATTAACACCATGATCCATATCATTCTTTACTGTTAAATAAATGCAATGACACCTAATAAACCTTGCAAAAATGAGGTTGAATAGAAATTTTCCATTAGGAATCAGAATGGATAGGACATAGAAATCGGCATTATTCTTCTTTTCATTTTTATACATATTAGAACATTCCAGCTTTGTAGGAATTCAAATATGATCAGAATTAGGATTCAAAGAAAAAAATGATTCCATGCCAGAATGTTTATAATCAGGGAACCTTGGTATAGAAGTATTGTTGGTACGTTGATCATTAGAGCAATTTAGTGATGCATCAGTTCTTTTTTCCCTTTTCCTTTCTACTAGATATAGTTGTTCCAATTTTAGTTCAGTCTCTTGAAAAGATTACCCAGGTTCTAGAGGCTTGTTGGATTAAACCTCTTTTCTTTGATCTAGGGATTAATGGAAAGAATCACTATTGAAGAGAATAATTACCCATATATTTTTTTTTCAGATTTTTGTATTCTACAACCATCTGTATTAGACTCAAGATCTACTAATCATTGCAGCCATACATCTGAAGCTAATGGCAGTATATCCTTTTCACTGCCATCTTATTGCTTAGAGCTGGGTTACCATGTTATCAAAAGTCTACCTCATATTAGCTAGCATAGCCTTCGGTAAGGTGGAGGATTAGAGTCATCCCAAAAGCTAATGACTTGCCTATGCCCACCACAAAGGGGGCAAGATGGGCCACTCAGGCATCTTCAATTTCCTTTATGCATAGGATGACATTGGATGCATTATTTCCCTTGGTTTTCTGTAACTGTTTCTGAATTGGTGAAATAGAATTCATGTAGACAACCCCATATAGTTAGGACTAGGGGTGTGCAACTTGAACAGGCCCAACCCAAGCCCAGACCGACCCAACCCACAATTTTACATGGGTTAGGCTTGGATTTTCAGTCCTTGGGCTGGGCCTGGCCCCAAAAGTTTGGGCTCTTATGTTTTTTGTGCTAGGCTTGGGCCTAACCTTTAGGCAACCCAGTCAACATTGGTTTATGACTTTTCCTGTAAACCTGCTACTAGAACAAAAGGAGTGCTTGAACGGGGTTAACAAACCTATTCATTAGGTCTTGTCATTTCCATATCTTGTTGTATTGGGGGATCTAGTATCACTTTTTTTTTTTTTTTATGGAATTGAAAGTAAACTTTACAGTGCTTCGATGTAACCTAATTTATTTTTTGGAAATTAATTTTCTCAATTTTGTAGTAGAAAGCAAAAGATCTTTACTTTGCAAGTTTGGCCTTTTTGTTAGACATCTAGTCTTGATATGAATTAGCAGGTTAAGAAATCATTAAATCATGTTTGTGATGTCTTGACAAGATCTTTTCAGCTTTGGTTCAGGTTGTGTTGGTTTACCATAACAATACTTTGGTTATTAGAAAGGAAAGTACCTAGGCCTAGAGGTTTATCCTTTCTAGGTAGTTGGTCTTGATGTCAACTATCATGTCAAGAAATCATGTTGTAAACTTGTGATATCTGGACAAGATCTTTTCAACTTTGGGTTGGGCCATACTAAAGGAATTATAACAACAATGTGGTGTCCTACATTATGATTTGCTGATCCCATGCAATGTTATCAAAGCACTGACTAGTTAACACCTAGTCTAGCAATTACTCAATTGTATAACATACCAACTGCATCAGTAACCAGCCAATACCCATGATGTGGTCTCCTAGGACAACTAAGTATTTTTTATTTGGTTAGCTAATGATTAGTTTGCTTAGTTGACAAAAAAATGAATGCACAAAGTAAAAACAGGAACAGTCAAGTAGCTATTTTAGGTCTTATTCTGATCAATAGTTTGCTGGTATGGAGTTGTCATTTACAAGGGAATGAGGGAATCATATCAGGAACAAATACTATTTCTCCCTACTGAGATTTTGATCAATAGATTGTTAATGCTCATATCTTTTATTGAATGCCTGCAGTCTTTATTAAATTATTTATGAGATTTCATTATTAAATATGTTTATATATTTGAGCAGTGAGACTGAATCATTATTTTGTGGTTGACTAGTTAGCACTGAAAGCACCGACTAGTCACTACACTGCATAAGGAGGCCATAACAACTAGATTTCTTATTTATCAAAAAAAAAAACTAGATATTCACCACATTGGCAACACCTTATTGCTGACCCTTCTGTGCACCTAAAGAATTAGCATAAGTGTTTGTCTCTCCGAGGTATAGTCCCGTGGCTTAGTTCCAGTTCTGGAACGTTGCATGTCAAGTGTGTGCATCTTATAGCCAAGCCTTGTGTACAAGTGCAAAGTTAGAAGTTTATAACTATTTGAATGTCTTTCTCCAAGAGATTTAGTCTTATCATCTCATTATAGTGATAGAAAAGTCACAAACCAATGCCTGAATATTATAGGGGATAATTTGGACTGGAAGTACTTCCAATAGGAAATTTTGAAAAGCAAATTGCTTACTGAGGACTAAAATGCTATAACTGTATTATTGAAAAATTTGTTACTCAGTGTTTCATATAAAAAATCAGCAAATCCTCAGTCAATTGTATTGCTATACCAGACTCATTTAGCCTGATCTGAACAAACTTGCAACCAGTCAACATCAAAAAACAGTTTTGGCATTGTAAATTCCTTTTAGGCTATATCTGCAGGAGCAATATAGGGGTTGTCCAATGTATGCAGTATGCCGTTCTTTTGTGTAACTGAACAAGGCAACTGAGTATAGCATCTTTGGGTGGATGGTATAAGAAACCACTAGTGGTGAAGCTATGGTATATCATGCTGGAAAATAGTAGTAGTAGAACATAAGATCCTGAAGCTTATATGATGTTTATATGTTAAGTACTGTGTTGAATACGTTTCCCTTGTTTCTCACTGTGCTGTGTAGGATAAACTTATGTTGTTATTCTATGTCTTCTATGGACTTATAGTATACAATGGATTATCAGATCTTCATGAAGACAGGCACTATTTGGATGATCATCCTGGATTGGTGCCTATAACCACTGCACAGGTATGATTTCTTTCCATGTAGAGTATTCCTAATCCTTCACTTCCATGTGCGTGAAGACTTTAGAATTATTGATATGGTTGCCAGAAGTCATTTAGCACCACATGATTCAGCAAACTGTGGGTCAGAGCATACTGAAGGAGGGGAGTCTTTTTTCTTCTCTCTCTTAACTAAGCTAATAATTCCCTACTTTTTAAGGCAAGCTTTAGGCTACTATTTATATTAACCAAATATATAGCAGCAAACAGAGAATTGTGGAGATGAGGTGTGCTTGGTGTTGGTGTGAGAAGACGATGGTGGTGGAGGTGTCCTTATTGTATTATTATTTTAGCTGCCTTCTTCTTCTTCTCTCTTACTTGCAATTTGGTGGATGCCAAGCCCAAGCCCAAGCCCAAGAAGGGTATCACTACCGTGTGGAGAAGGAAAGGGTGGCTCTTTTACAACTCAGAGACTCAGTATTCAATCATCATCCAGATGCGTCCTCCAAAATGTATAACTGGGGGGATAATGGAGATGATTGTTGTAGATGGAAAGGGGTGGAGTGCGACTTATCTTCTTCCCCATCTCCAGTGGTTGGAATAAGCATTTTGGGTGAAAGGGGAAGACAAGAATTAGGAATATGTTACCCAAATGCTACCATTTTGTAACTGTCTAATCTTTAACATTATTCTTTTGTCAAGACAAGATGGAATTTACTGGAAAATTAGTGCATTAAAAAATGAATCAAAACATGAAGGTAAATATTTATTATTTGTAGCATAATGGAAGGCTAAGGTATTCCAAGGTATTCCAAAAATTGAAAAGAAGTGTCATTTTTGCACTTAATTAATTAAAATCAAGCCATTAAAGTCATGCATATATACTTTGGATAACCTTTTGATGTTAATGGGCAATAAATGTTTATTGTTTAATGAATCTAGGAGGATATGCTGATCTGGGCACTCTTGTAAATGAGCCTCCGAGAGATGCCCTAACCTTGTGGGAGATTGGTGTTCCTGACCATTCAGCTGCTGAGTTCTTCATCCCAGATCTCGACTCCCGCTATTTCAACCCACTCTACATAAATCAGGGCAGGTATCTATTTTGCTACCAGATTACCATAATAACTTCATCTCAGCAACAAAAAGATAAGAAACCCAGTTCTTTTAGTTCCCATTTCCATTAATTACAACACCAAAATCAAATAAGTGTTAATTCTAAGCATTGTTTCTTATAGTTGTTGATTCTTCTTTCTAAATGCATGTATGTGTAGGTTTAGGCAATATGGGTTGTGGGAGAAGTATGGGCTTTTGTATCCCTACCAGGATCTAGCTTATACTGTAGGTGTTAGTGACTACCGAAAAGATTGGTACGCACACATTACAAGGTTGGTTGGACAATTTAATTCCTGAGTTTCTTTTCTTCTGGTCTTAGTAATGAATCTAATGACAATGTTCATTGTGCTCCTGACATGATATATGGTTAAGTTACTGAAAATTTTCTTTCACCTTTTGTGTGCAGAACAATCAGCAATCCTACAGGGCATAAAATCTTATCTGGGTTACTGGTATTGGCACCAAAAATTTGATAGGGAATCAGCCACAAGACGAGCCCTGTTCAAGCTTGAATGGAGACTTAGGAACTTCTCAACTGTAGGTTGTGGGTTATCCTCCTTGGCTGATAGGGAATCAGCCACAAGACTTAGGAACTTCACTCAGCATATATGTTGTAAAAGAGAAAAAGAGAGATCAGATATCAAAAAAGTGAGTTCAAGGAGAAAAGAAAACATATCAATATCTTACATGCAAGATCTATACCAGTCAAACCAGTAAATTTGCACGAGGTCAATGAATATGGGCATCAAACGTTGAGAATCAAAGACTAAGAGAGTAGCTATGTCTTGCTGGTATAGGATGCATTTCCAACTAAAGGATTATTATCCAATTCATAGGCCAGCCATAATAGAAGGCTAGTTCGTTTCCTGGACTTCATTCAACCTACAGCTTCTTAAATGGATTTTGGCTTCTGTATCTTTCTCCAAGAACCTGAAGGTTACTAACTTCAACATCAATCGGCAAAAGAATTGAATATACCATGTATTTGTGATTCAAATATTTTGAATGGAGAATGCTTTTTTTTTTCTTAAATTTTATTTGTAATTGAGGGCCTAACGGTGTCGGAATTGGACGATCTTAGTACCATTGGACTCAGAATTTTGAGTTCTATCCATCTACAGGGTTGGATTTCAGATTTTCTGGGGTTAGGATTTAGGATCAGTGATGATCCCGATTGGACGATCTGAATCGGTTTTGGCTTCGGGTCTTGAGATGAAGGGGTAGCGATGTTGGATTTGGGTGATCTTGGTGTTGCTGGATTTGGATTTTTGGGCTCTACGTACCTATGGTCTCAGATTTTGGATTTGATGTTAAATGAGGATTAGGATCAAAATGACTCCAATCGGACGATCGGAATTGGTTCTGGCTATGGGTTTTCGGATGATAGAGTAAACGGTGTCGAACTTGGGTGATCTTGGTGTCGTTGGATTTGGATTTTTGGGCTCTACATATCTATGGTCTCGGATTTTGGATTTGATTTGAATTGAGGATTAAGATCAAAATGACTCCGATCGGATGATCGAAATCGGTTCCGGCTTCGAGTCTTAGGATGATGGGGTAAACATTGTTGGACTTGGGTGATCTTGGTGTCCTTGGTTTCGGATTTTTAGGCTCTATGTACCTATGGTTTCGGATTTTGGATTTGATGTGAAATGAGGATTAGGATTAAAATGACTTCGATCAGACGATCAGAATCGATTTCGACTTCGGGTCTCAGGATGAAGGGGTAAATGGTGTTGGATTTGGGTGATCTTGGTGTCATTGGGTTTAGGTTTCTAGTCTCTACGTACCTATGGTCTTGGATCCTCGAGGCCTCAACTTTTGTAAAATTCCAAAAATACCCCCAGGTCGACCACGAGGTTAGTTGAAGCATGCTTGAAGCTCAAAGTGTTCAGAAAGACTGAAGAGCACAAAAATGGGGTGTCTATACCGATCTATACAAAGTTTGAGAATTGTGAAATCAGGATCCTTGGCTAACTTTGTCGGGGATGATCTTGCAATGGGAATGATCTCTTTACTTAATGTAATTTTAAAGCTGCATTGCTAAGGGACTAGCAATGGTTAAGTTGGGGGGTGTGATAACTCTGTAGTTTGATGCCATAAGGGCATCATTTTTGGGGTATTTTCGGCCTTAGAATAATCAAAATGTCTCATTTTCCCAGTTAAATTCAATATTGTGACATCTGAGGGTTTCTGTACAAATCTTGGGGAAAACTGGAGACTTTCACGGCTGAAATATAGTTTTTGGGAAGCTGATGTGAAGTTCAACTGAGAGAGGGGGTGTTTTTGTGAAAAACTGAGCACAGGAGGGCGCCTCCTATCTGCTAAACCAAAAATGGCGCCCCTCCTACTGTATTAGCATACTCCCCTCTCCTTAGAAAACCATAATGCGCCTCTCCACTCATTCTTTTCATCCTTAACAAACCCTAGCCACCCCAAATTGCTAAATCCTCACCCTCCATCCCTTCTAATCTCCACCATCCACTATAGGGCACTCTCTTTTTAGCATTCTAACCCTAGGGAGCCACCTAACTTATAACCTTCAACATTCAGCCTTTAGCCATTAAATCTCAACCCTACATAATTTTAGGTGTCCTCTCCTTTTCTTTCCAGCCTTAGGATCAATTTAGAACAATCCTAACCCTCCATTCTAAATCCTAGGGTGCCCATATTTCTGCAAAAACCTAGTTGTCGCCCCTTCTTTCTCTCTAATCCTAGTTTTGTCCACCCTTCTATATAAAAAGGACTCCAAGGGCTCTGGAGAAGGGGTTGGTCAATTCACCCAGTTCACAAGGCTAAAGTTTCTTGAGGAGTTCAAGGGTTGTAGAAGGGAATGACACCTAGTTCTTGTCAGGAGGGGATTCTGCAAGCAGTTCAGCTAATCTGCAACTACCGCTACTAGATCTGATCAACCATCCTTTTATTTTCTTTATTTTCTTTCATGTTATTTTTATTTCAGAAACCTTTTAGATTTAATTTCCATTCATTTGTATGTTTTGCAGATCCAAATTCGTCATGTTCAAGGCTAAGGTGTCTCGAGGGGTTCGAGGGCTGAAGAAGGGAAGGATGCCCAATTCTTGTCAGGAGGGATTCCTGCAAGCTGTTTGGCCAATCTGCAGCTACCGCCACTGGGTCTGATTTTGGATCACTTTTGTTTATTTTTTTGTTGATTTCCGTACTCTTTTAATTTCTGAATTTTAATTATTGTCTTGTTTAATTCCAAACCTTTAATTTCAACATTAATAAATTCTATGTTCTTATTTTCTGCAATCCCCAGTTCCATTTTCTTTTTATTTGTCTGGAACGAGAAAATAATAATTTTCCCTCGCTTCCCTATGGGTTCAACCCCTTCCTCGCCATGTACTATATTGTTTAAGGTACGTGAGGATTGAAAAAATTTATAAATCTCTAAATTGGTGTTCCGAAGTGGTTAACGACACGCTTCCGGATACATCACTGACTCAATGAGATGTAGTCACCACCCATTTGTTAGAGGAAATGGGCCCTCATTTTCAGACTTGAAAGTTAAACTTTAACTCTTTGATAATGACCATGGGAAGGGCACTGAACTAAAAGGTTTTGGGTTCCAAAGATTGGGAGAGGGAAGGTGTTAGGCACCCTTCTCTCCAAACTAATATATCATCCCACTATGGGAGTAATTCAAGCTCAAATTCCAATGAAACACGAATTAACAAGATTACTCAAAGCTCCTGAAATCTGGGGAAAATGTTTCCAATTTCGCCAAAAATTGATTTGAGGTGATGTTATCGGGTCTTAGGTACTGGTTTCCCTAAGACCCTTGCCTCTCTACCTCTTTTTCTCAATCTGGAGGAAGCTGGTAATGTGAGTTTCCTAGGATTTTTGGACTTTAAGCAATCTAAAACTAAACTAAAAGTAGAGAGATGGTGGAATGAGAGACTTACCTTTTGTGTAAGACCTTGAAACAAACTTTCCAACAGCTAAAAGGACTTCAAACAAAATTTGAGCAAGGCACGAAGCTAGGCAGAGCATTTTTGGTGTTAAGTTTAAAAAACAGGGGATGAGGCTTGAGCTTAGCTTTAGGGATTTCGAGATTTCAAGCAGAATGGGTGTATCACAGAAGTTGGGAAATTGCTCTCCTTCTTCTCTCTCCCCCTCTAAGTTCGAGCTGGGCCTCTATTTATAGGGAAAAGGGAGGGAGATGGATCTGAAATTTGTCCAACCACAGTTTTGAGCATCAGGAAAAACAACTCACTTGCCACTTAGGCTGGAAATGGCGTCGCCACCAATCAAATAAGGAAATGGAGGTGATGGGACCTCCGAGAATGATTTAAAATGCTTTGTTTTATTAGTGACTCCAAAACCCAATGCACTGGTCCAAACCAGTCTAGGTAAGCCTCGGAAGGAAGAGGGAAGGGATTAGGCACCCCTCTCTTGGGTCCAATAGGTAGGGCCCACATGGGAATTCCGTTCAAGCACAAGCATGAGCAAATACTACTTCAATTAACTACAAATACACTAGCAAGTGAGACAAAACAAGAATGAACTAACACAAGAGAATCAAACACCATTTATTTAGATATCTATTACCATTTTGATTATTTTGCTATTAATCAACAAACAATCCTTATTTCTTCTATTTCGGAAATGAAAACCATACAACTATTCGACACAACCATCAAAACATAATCTAGTATTAAACTAGCCATTCTGGATTAAAAAAAACATAAACACATGTGAACAGATGGAACTGAATGATCAACTAGTATTCTATATTTTCAACTATTCTACTTGAAATAACTTTGAAATTCGATTTAGAATTAACGATAACTACTGATGAAGGGTGATTTGGCATGACCTAGTAAGAAGGGGACACATAGACGCGATCTGCTCGAGGGGTGACAACTCAGCCAAACGAACCCAACCCACAACATTTGGAGCTCGGATATTCAGCCACCTCGACGTAGAGACATCTCGACACCCAATCTAGTTTGGGATTAAAGAATCGAAATACCAGTTTGGAGCTAAAGAGCCAAAATGCCACGTAATCGACTCCAAAGGCCTCCTCAACAAACCCCAAATTTCTTGGATCATGATGAGACTCATCCTAGCTCCGCTTAAATTGGAGGTAAACGATAAATCTTATCAACACATTGCTCTCATTCAAAAACGGAATAGGTCTTATCCGCACAACCCAAATATCCCGAAGCTCTTTCATAAGACCCATGACTACTCCATTATATAAGGACATGAAACCCCAAGGCAAAGGTACGCGTGATTATTTACTCACTAGCATTCAAGCACTCAAGTATTCAGCTCACATCCACAGTGTAGTACTGAGTTAAGCATCTGAGCGACCTCGCCGGGTTAGCCACCCCAGGTTCTCTGATCTACTATTTTGCAGCTTGGTTCAGTTCGTCGTGCAACAGGAGTTCGGATTGTCTTTCAGCTAGGAGTATCTAGATCGTGCACCACCAATTGACACCGTCTGTGGGAAACGATCGAAAGGTCATCCCAACTTTAGTTGCAATTTTATTTCTTTCTCTAGACCCCTGTTTGTTGCTCTTCCAGCTAACAACACACGATTCTATCGTAAAATCTCTTTTGTCATTCGAAGGTATTTTAGTATGTTTTTCACAATAGTCCAATGCTCCTGCCCTGGGTTAGATTGGTATATGCTTACCACACTCACTACCTGAGAAATGTTAGGATGAGTGCACAGTATGACATACATGATGCTCTCTACGGTTGAGGCACAGGGAACCTCTTTCATGCCCTCAATCTCTTCGGGAGTCTTGGGAGACATACCCTTGGAGAGAGTGACTCCAAGCTTGAAAGGAACATTTCCTTTCTTGGAGTTCTCCATGCTGTATTTCTTGACTATTTTGTCAATGTAGGCAGATTGGGATAATTCTATTATCCTCTTCGATCTATCTATATAGAGTCGAAGATCCAGTATGTAGGAGGTTTCTCCAAGATCTTTCATGAAGAATTGCTATGAAAACCACACTTTCACCGTAGTCAACATTCCTACATCATTCTCAATGAGTAGAATGTCATCTACATATAGAACAAAAAACGTAACCTTATCCCCACTAGTTTTTCTGTAAACACAGGGCTCATCCGGGTCTTGCTCAAAGTCGAACAGTTTGACGGTAGAATCAAACCGGATGTTCAAACTCCTAGAACTTTGCTTAAGTCCATATAGGGATTGATTTAGTTTACATACCATGTGTTCCTGGCTTGCAGCTATGAAACCTTGCGGTTGCTGCATATAGATGCCTTTAGTAAGATCTCCATTCAGGAACACAGTTTTGACATCCATTTGCCAAATCTCGTATTCATGGTACGCTGCTACATCTAATAGGATCCTAATGGATTTAAGCATGGCCACGGGCGAAAAGGTTTCCTCATAATCAATTCCTTCTTTCTGAGTGTACCATTTTGCCATAAGACGGGCCTTGTAGGTCTCAACCTTACCATTGGGGCCCTTCTTTCTCTTATAGATCCATTTGCAACCAATTTCTTTTACCCCAGGGGGTGGATCTACCAGAGTCCAGACTCCATTGGTTTCCATTGAGTCCATCTCTGATCTCATGACATCTACCCACTTCAAGGAATCTATGTCTAACATAGCTTTCGTATAAGTCATGGGTCCTTCTCACTGGTCGTGGCTTCCACCAAGTAACTTTCTTGGTCATAGCCATAACGAATTGAAGGCCTGGAATCCTAGGTAGATCTCCTAGGTTGGTTATTAACTGGAGCTTGTGGGACATCTCGCACTACCCCTGAGCTCTCCTCATCAAGAACAATTTCTTGATGATGATTGTTCAGGATGTAATCATCTTCCAAGAAATGGGCATTTCGACTACATAACACCTTCTGTTCTCCTGGGTTATAGAATAAATACCCTACAGAGCCTTTTGGGTAACCTGTAAATAGGCAACGACTGGTCTTGGATTCCAATTTGTCAGCACTTGTTCTTTTAACATGTGCCGGACAACCCCAACTTCAAGTGTCTCACACTTGGTTTCTTATCGGTCCAAAGCTCATAGGGAATCTTCGGAATGGATTTGTTAGGAACCCGGTTCAACATGCATATCACAATCTCTAATGCGTAACCCCAAAAGGATGTGGCTAGCTCTGAGTGTAAGAGAAGTGATCAGACCATATAGAATAAAGTCCGGTTCCTCCTTTCTGACACACCGTTTAACTGTGGTGTAGCAGGATGAGCTAGTTGTGATACTATCCCATTGTCTTTTAAGTAGTCCCTGAATTTGTCAGAGAGATACTCGCCACCTCGATCTGATCGAAGGGTCTTAATTTCTCTCCCTAACTGTTTCTCGACTTCATGTCTAAATTCTTTGAACTTTTCAAAAATTAGATCGCAACATGCAGTTTCCAAAACTGCAGATCGCAGATGGCTGAACCCATATCTACGAAAACTTCTCCTTTGCGCAATCTGCTTCTTCTTCGAATGGAATAAAATAGAAAACCTATTTTCTATTAATATTACATCAGAATTGAATTCCTATACATTCCGTCTAAAAATTAAAAATAATTAATTATAGACAAAGAATGAAAAGAACAACAAGTGCACAGATTTCTTGCGCCATTAAAGAATTCGATCTCCACCGTACGAGTAGCCTAAAAATCAAGAAAAATATGTAGAAAAATTCTAAATATAAATCTGATTTATAAAGATTTAATTTCAGATCAATCGCCCCAAAACTGGGAATTGATTTCCCAGAAAATGCTAACTGCACAAATCAGGTAGAACGCCTTTTGCCTATTTGCGCAGATCCAAATCTGGTTTAATTTGGGTTCAAGAATTGAACATAGCTCTGATATCATTGAAGGGATGAGAGATCCATCATATGGATGGCCGAACCTACAGGAAGGTTGGGAAAAATTTCAAAAATTTCTCTCTCCCATGTGGGAATCGCATTCCCTATTTTAAAAAACTGCATTCTCAAGGATCAATCTTGAAACCAAATCGGACCAGATCTGAAATCAAAAGGGAGTAGAGGGATATACTTGATACGGAGTAATAGTAAACCCCCAATGAAGGTGTTCATGCCCAAGGAGAACTGTTCTTGAT